AAAGCTACCTACAAGAAGCATCACCTTTAGTTGCAATTGCAAGGCACACCCATTAGGCATGGCAACGGGGCGGAGCAGGGGTGGGTTTTACGTTCTCCGTCCCGCCCCCGCAAATTTAAACTGCCCCGTCCTCGCCCCCAATATCCGCTGGGATAAAATTTGGGTCCCCATTTTCGCTCTCAACGGGTTCGTCCCACCCCGTTCCCGCACCTATTTCTTTTTTTATAAATAAATGAATAATTAAAAAAAATAAAAGAAAAGTAAAATAATATAAATTTTTATATATAAATATTTATAATTTTAGTTTATCTATATATAAATAATTTTTTAATTATATTATTAAGCGGGACAGGGACAGGGTGGGAGCGGGGGCAGGGGCGGGGGTGGGGGCAGGGTGGGGATTAAAATCCCCGTCCCCGCCCCTGATTTTATCAATCGGAAAAAACCCGAACCCGAACCTGAACCCGATAAACACAAGTTTTTCCCATCTAAATCAAGGCAGGTTCAGACGGTACTCACGGAGCGGGTTGGATTCTCATGCCTAACACCTGTATTGCACTTTGCTGCATTCTCTGCTACCAAGAAGCACTACATACTACATACAGTAGAAAAGTCCAATCGCTAGTTGAATCTCTCAGCTGGTACATTTAATTTTCTGCAAGTAATAAAAAACAGTAAATTAATGTTATTTTCATTTATTTCTTAAAGCATGTTAGTTTAAGCCTTTAACAAAATTAATTTTGTATTAATTTGATGCTTTAAATATACTCCTGTATCCTTTTAAAATTTGTATAACTAATGAATTAAAGATAAAGAAAAATTGAAATTAAACCTGGTGATGCATGTTTCGATAAGAAGTGATTCTTATAAAGTGGTCCCTTGTTATATGCAACCTAGAGGGAAGTTTAGGGTTTAGAAGTGGGATGATAGGAGAAGGGGTATCTAGGAAGAAAGAATCATAAATTGAGAGAGGTGTCTGAATTTATACCCTCCAACTGTTAAAAGGCATCGTCGTGGTGTCAGTGGTCCAGAGTGGTTGGTACAGTTCATAACAATTTTAATAAATATGTTCATGGGCATTGGGCACATTTAAAAAAAGTTGAACATAAAATTATGCTATGTGCAGGCCCCAAAGGCTATGCTCATCTAACGTCTGCTTCAGTTTTCAACCACCACCTAATTTTTCGCCGCGCTCTAGGTACACGTTTGGGAAAGTTGAATTTCAGATTATTTCACCTTGCTTAATTAATGCAATAATAAATAGTTTTTAATTCATTTTGCCACCTTATCAAATCACCAACTAACACTATTATAAATTAAATAGCTTTCATCATCATCTTGAGGTCAACTATCTCACTTTTAAGATGCCTCTAATAACGCGAAGATTAATTACTTTTATCGAGATAGATACTTCAGGAACGAACAAAAAAAAAATGAGTTTCAACACAAATTTACATAAATAAATAAAGTTCTTTTTTATATATATATATTATATAACAAAGAGAAAGATATAAGAAGAGAAGGAACATACAACTATAACAAAGAGAAAGATAAGTGATATGATGAAAATATGTAAAAATAATGTTGACAAAAAATATTAATACTATACTGTATCTCTTTATCAAAGGAACGGGTTATATAGTTTCACTAAATTTGGATAAAGAACACTTCTATTTTTATTGCAGCTTCATCTTTTTTATGGAAAATTTTGATACTAGGAGTCCTTGGAATGCATATATTTATACATACATTGGATTAAAAAGAAATACTAGAATTTTAAATTATTTAATAAACCTTGGATTTTTTTTATAAAAAAATTAATCTTGTAATTTTATCAAATGGTATATATCTTTTTTGGTACATATAATTCAATTTTTTTAGTGAAGTCTTTCAACATTTTAAAAAGTTTTAAAATATGTCCCATTTGTTGATAGCCACTATCATTTCTTTTTGGATAGATAGACATTATCATTTGATATAACTATAAGATGTTCAACTATGGGTTTTATCAAATAATTTTCTATAAATTATCTATGCTATTGACATGCAAGTGTCTATAATCTAATGGAACTTAACAAAATCTTAAGGATAAATATCACTTTAATAAAAAATATCCAAGTGAATTATATTGCGTAAGTTTCGTAACACACGTTGAGTTACACTCACCGTAATTTTCTGAAACAATATATATAATTGTTTGTGTTAATTTTCCCCATGATTTTATACATCGTAAATATAAATTATTACCATCAATTAAAAAAATTGTTAATTTGTTAAATAGACTAAGATAGGATTTGATATGGTTGGTATTTCAGTTCAAACTCATCTTTTTGAGGTCGGTAGACGTTAGTTTTCTATACATATATTGAGTTCAAAACATTTTTATACCTTAAACAGACACATTATTAATCACTTACCCCCAAATTTCTTTCAAATTACAAAAAAATTATCATAATCATAAATATTTTATTAATTAAAGCAGTAGTTTAGTACTCAAATTGTTGAATATTTATTAATATTGATCGATATAAATGATAATGATTTGAATTTTTATTTATTAAAATGTCCATAATTTGAATCTTGACTTTAAGTGCGAAATAGACTTAAAAAAAGAAAATATTTATGTTGTGTGTGTTTATGATTTTAACATAAATCATATTCA